CCTCTCTGCTCCTTTCTAGATTTTCTTTCCTTTATCCTTTCCCATTTTTTTTTCCTTTTCCTTCTCATTTTCCTTTTTCTTCCTTTTCCTTTCCCTTTCTTTTTTTCCTTTAACTTTTTTTCCCCTTTAGCTTTTTTTTCTTTTATATTTTTTTTCCCTCCTTTCCCTTTTTCTTTTTCTTTTTCTTTTCCCACCCTTTTTCTTTTCCTTACCCTTTTTCTTTTCCTTACCCTTTTTCTTTTCCTTACCCTTTTTCTTTTCCTTACACCTTTTTCTTTACTTTCCCCTTTTTCTTTCCTTTCCCCCTTTTCTTTTCATTTTTCTTTCCCTTTTCCCTTTTGCTCTATTTTTTATTTCACTTTCCATCATCCCATTTTCTTTCCATTTTTTCTCACCCCATTTCCTTTTTTCCCTTCTCCCCCCTTTTCTTTTCTTTCCTTTTTTTCTTTCCTTTCCTTTCTTTTTCTTTCCCTTTTTCATTTCATATTTTCCTTTTCTTTTCCATGACCTTCCTTTTCTTTTATTTTCCCATTTCTTTCCGGTTTTCTTTCTCTTTCCTTTTATCTCCAATTTTTCTTTTCTTTTCATTTTTCTTTCACTTTTCCTTTTTTATCTATTTTTTCTTTCATTTTTCAAAATTATTATGGGTTTGGTTGGTCTTGGAAAATATTCTTCAAAATTAATATGAGCTTAACTGGCGAAATTTTTTAAAAATTTTATGGGCCGGGCTTGGGAAATTTTTTTTAAAATTATTATGGGTTGGACCGGGTTGAGAACAAATTTTCAAAATTATTATGGGTTGGGCTGGGCTTAGGAAATTTTTTTAAAAATTATTAGGGTCTTGGACGCTTGGAAATTAATTTAATATATAATATGGGCCAGACATTGGCCTAAAAAAAGCCTGGTCCAGGACTGAAACCAAGGACCATGCTGACTCTGGTTGCATTTTTAAGTGTATTATGATTTTTTTATATTTTATTTTAGTTCTGAACCACCAAAATTATTATGGTCTTTAACCGGGATTGAGGAGTTTTTTCAAAATTATTGTGGGCTTGAACCTGGCTTGGGATTTTTTAATTTTAAATAATAGCCATTGGTAATCAGTAATATTTTAACAAACAATTTTGATATGGAGTAAAAGGTAATCTAAATATATTTTAACTCAAAAAAGTATTCACTTTTAATCTTAATGGGTTGGATTTGACCTGAATGAAGAAGAGGGGAGGGGGGGGGAAGAATAAATATTGGATATGATTTTTAAAATGTAACATCTATCGTAAAAGAACAAATAAAATTCTCATTCCCTGTCATTTTTGACGGGCTATCTACTAATATTTTTAAAAAATAAAATTCGATAGCTCGTTTCTCCACTCGTAAAAAAACATTTGAAATTTTCGTCTTCGAAATGATGTTATTGAAGGGAAATACTCCTCTTCAAGACTCGTTTTAATTAATAGACAATCAAATAAATGGTTCAGAAGACCGTTTTCCTTAAAAATTGTGTGTTATCTATTAGAATAAAGACCTTCTTGAATATAATCCCTATGCCTGATCTCACTTACTAAATTCGCCCGCATTAATATATCAAACCAGTAACAAAAGTTACTAAAATTAAAAATTGTTTTAATTCTTTAGCCAATAAATTGCTTCTATGCAGCATATAAGATCATTAATTTTTTCAGACACGATTATTAGTACATAATAAATATCACCAACTTGATATCTAAACCCCATTACCTTTATATTCACTTTATAGACCTGGATTATTTTTTGGCATATAAGAAACTAATGCAATTTTTGCTTTGTGGTCCTTGTACAAAATGAATTTAATTAAACTTTAATGTAAAATGAAAAATATGGCCTATTTTTCCTTTGACTATTTGAGCAGATAAGGTTAAATTTGTTAAAAGTAGTAAATATTAAATTTATAAAAATCATAAATCAAAAAATAAATTAGTTACAAAAATCTTTCTGCTCTTTTTAATAATAAGGAAAATGATACATATTGCATATGAATGATTGGAAATAGTTTAAATAAATATTTGTTTAAAACCTATATTAAGCAAATTAAGGTTAGAGGCTAACTAAAATTTTAACTTGGAGTAAAATTTTTCCACGAGAAACAATATTTGGCCATCCTAAAAACAGTTACCCTACCAGCTTTTTCGTTACAGGCCTGGCACGAAGGCCAAGAAGTATCTATTAACTCTCAGGAAATAGGCGTTTAGACTATGGATGATATAAGTTCGTTGGCCGCCTTTAAGCTATAGAAAAATATGGGTATAGGGTTAATATATTTTTAGAAAAATTAATAAAATTTTATATTAAAACTAAATATCATTAGCAAATATTAATTTTTGATAGTGCCACTATATTATTAATTTTTCATTAGCACTATAGGTCACTAGGGGGGGGGGGTAGAGGCTCGAGCCCCCTGAAGCAAAATAATTTTATTAATGGCTCCCTAATATCCCCCTGAACTAAAAATAAATTTATTTTGATAGCCCCCTGAACGATCTCTTTTATTATTTAGTTTTATATATAGATTTGATTTTATTTTTTAAAAATTAATTAGATCATCTAAATTTTTATTAAATGAGTGTTATTTAATTATTAGATTAAATTAATACATATATGTTATATTTTCACTATGTCAGCTCGCACAATCAAATTCTGTGTTAAAAATGGAATACAGTTGAAGTTTAATTGTTTTTTATTATTTAAATTATTTTATAACAATAATTAATTAAATAAAATCATTTATTAATTGAAAATTAACAAATTTAATATTGTAATTAGCCGAGTTCAAAAACACAAATCCATTCTTAAATTTAATTACCATGCCTCTTACTAGAAATATAACCAAGGTTCAAACAAGTAAGAAATTTCTTTAGAAAATGTAAGTAGACATATAGTTGATAATCCTCTATTATATAGAATGGGTTACAAAATATTAGGTAAAATGCCACTTTTACAGTTATATTTGAAAGTTATAGAATATATTACAGTTAATATTTTAATAAACTTTACTAATCATTGCTTTTGATAATAAATATAAATAACAATTTGCATTCAATTCTTTAACGTGTGGTGTTTAACAAATAGTATTTATTTATGTATATTATAAGTATCAAATAAGAAAATATATATCCCTATCTACTTTTATAAAATCGTTTATCTATTTAATCTATTGTAGCTTAAAATCAAATTAACAAAATACAATTTATAATAAAAATTAATACGTTACAAACGCCATCTCTTTATCTTATTTTTAATCCCACAATATATGTAATCCTTATTAGATATCTTTTTTTTCTTTTCTTTTTTATAGGTGTGTTTAGGTAAGCTATCTAAAAATAGTTTTGAGTTTATATTTTTAAACGTTCATATTTTGATATTATTACAAACTACTATTTTTTTAAAACATAATATACCAACTAGAGGTGGTGCAATTATATATAAAATCTTAATTGATTTATTAATATCACACTGGTCCTTATTTTCTAGTTACCAAGATTTATTTCTAATCTAATATGGCATCCTTACTTTATAAATAACCCATGGCTTTAATATATTTGCATATTTATTTCTTCTAAAGATTTTTAGTTTTTATTTTATCAATTTATCTAACATTAGATTCTGATATAAGTTTACATCGTGAGTGTCATAGCTATAACTGCAAATTAAATTTAAGATTATTACTCTTGCTGCTGAGAGCATTTGATTTCATAATTTAGATGGACAATAATGGTCAACTGTATAATCGTTTATATACCTTAAAAAATATAAGATAATCTTTAGAAATTTGATATCAATAATTTTCTCGATTACTTATCTAGCTTCCATAATGACATATTTGGATTAGTCGTTTATATTCTCTTCTTCAAGAATTATTGATTTGGTTAATCCTACAAATTTTTCCTTATTCGTCAATACTATAAGACATTGCCTACACGGATGTTTTCCCATAATTACATTTTTTTAAATTATAATGATACCCATTTCTGAATTTTTAAAAAGATAAACCTAAATTATTTTATCTTTACTACCAAATAATAAAATTTTGTGAATATAAAGGAGTTAATTCTTAGATAATTAATTCAATTTAAAACCATCTCATTTACAATGAATGCATTCATAATTATAAACTTGTTGAGAGTGTCTAAAGTTTTTTAAATTACATTTAAAAGGATAACTAAGAATTCATTTGGAAAATAATGTCTATGATTGTTTGCAATATATAAATTTGATAGATGATCAGCAATATCATTGTATTACAATCGGTCTATAATAAAAGTATTAAATTTTAGAGCAATATATTTTGTCCTATTTCATCTCAAAATTTAATAGATAACCCTCTAAAAAATTTATCCTACCTCAAGAAAAATTTGACAAACTTTCCTACCCCACAGATCATGTAGACGCTGATTGAGGCAGTATAAATTAATTAATCTTTTTTATTCTTGTAATTCTTGAAACATAAATTATCGAAAATATTTAATATTGTAATATATAGATAAATATTTTGCATTAAAATTATATTATCTTTAGAAATGTCTTGTATGTTTTGCTTTTATTATTTGTGCATAATAAATGACAAAATGTGAAATCGTAATAAATGTTCAGTTTTTAAATTTCAATCAAAATAGTATAATATATTAATATAAAACTCGGCCGAAGCCTAGATAAAAGTGGGCCAAAGGCCCGCAAAATAGGGGTTATGGGGGTCTACATTCCCCATAAACTTTTTTTTAGTTGAGCCACTTGAGATTGTAAAGGCTAGTGAAGCCCCTGCATTAACATCTTATTTTAAAATATATACCGCTATATTAGATTTTGAACTAGTCCGAAAAACGCGAAATAGGATATTATCATCTATATTTTTTAATAAATATCCCATATGAATTTTAAAATTTAACACATATCATTTGACACCTGATTTAAAAAGTATCTGTTTAAACATGATGAATGATAGGTGGATGTATGACTTTTTCGTTGTAGGCTACATAAAATAAATTATTTTAAATGCTCAAAAATAAAAAAGTAAATAATCTTTTCTCTACTTATTAATTATTTTTATTATAGTCAGATAACAAAGCAAGTATAGAAATAAGTCCAGATAATTTAGATATCGATGTCAAAAATAATATACTTAATATATGCTTATTGGATTTAGATCAAATATATAAAAATAATGTTAATAATGACTTTAAGCAAGAATTCAAAAATAATTTAATTGTTTACCTAAAGTTAGACAATTATCAAGTTCCACCATATGACATAAAAAATTTTAACGAGTATTTTATTAAATATAAAGATAAAATAATGACACATCGAGCCTTTAAAATTGACCCTTATATGTTCCCATTATTTTTGTTAGTATTTTCTATTCGAGATGGATCATATGATGCAAGAAATGCTGTTTTAATACAAAATATTATACAATATTTAAAACTTAATGATATCATATTTGAAAAATATGAAGACAAAATGATAGATTTAATAATTTATTTTAAGAAAGATTCTAATTCAAGCAAAAGATTCAAAACAAGTAAAATGAAGAAGTGAGAAGTGCTTTTATATTAATATTAAGATTAACAAATAAAAGACAAAATTTTATAATTTCAATTGTCTACTATTTTTATATTTATTTTGTTATTTCCATAAGAAAATTTTGTTTTTCCTATTTAAAATTACAAATGTTTGTTATTAAAACTAAGCTAAATTCAGAGAGTTGTATATTCTCTTTTTATTTTAAGAATGCTCAATATGATTATTATTATATTTGAAAATATATATACACATACCTTATAATAGAGTGCACTGAGTGTTTACGATACTTAAAATAAATATAAGATATCCCTTGTTTAATACCTTTTTATTAATATCATTGATTCAAAATCTTAACCCTATAAAAAAGAATATTTTTTTGTTCTTAAATCAACGTTCTTTACAAGCATAAATTAAATGTCTTTTGAGTTCTCTAAGTAAAACTCCTGCTTCATTATTAAAATAGCACTGTATTATTGGGAATTCTTTGTTATTTGAGGCTTAAAGAAAATAAAAAATTTTCCTTTAAATCCTTTAAAATGTTAATTGCTGGGCCTATGATATTAAAACTATTTTGGAGATTTTTATATTCATTCTTCTACATTTTATGTTTTAGGCTATTTTTGAATCTGGGAAGAGAATAGGGTAATATGTTTTTACAGTGCAATCTTTAGATAAACATACACTATTTTATTGTGTGATTGATGAATGACTTTGGATATTGAATTTATAGTAGGGCTGTGCTGATATTAAATATTGAATCAGATCGGTACCATTTAGCGTTTTCAAAAAATATCGGATCAGGCCCATACCTGTAAAAAACCAATACAATCTTTTTACTTTTCTTTTTTTGTTATTTTATTTATATTTATTTAACATTAATCATATTTTCTAAATAATTTTTTTTTAAACAATCCAAATGCACAACATCCCTTAAATTTTATTTATTTTTTTAAAATAGATTTATAGTATTTTTAAAGTTTTTTTTATAAAAATAGAAAGTAACACCCAAAGTTTTATTTATTTTAAATCTTTTTAAATAATTCCGCCAATTTTATTATTTATAATTTAATATTTACAAATTTCTAACTAAATTTATAAAATTAAAATAATTATTAAAATTTATAAGTTTTTTAGAAGAAAGGGCCTCTTTTTTATTCTTATATTCTTCTTTCTTTGCTATACTCATTACTAAACATATATATGGCTCGGGTGTAGTTCCACCCTCATATAACCTCATATCTGGGTTACAAGGTTTGTTGGTATCCTTGAGAAAAAAACCGGCATATCTTTCATATAATTCATGTACGCTCACCTTTGGGCAGGTCTATAACCAACGTCAAATATAGAATTTATACTTTAAGTAAAAAAAAATTTTAAATATGGTATCTGAATTAAATATTTTACAAAAAACAATGATAATTTTGCAAAATGCGTTTTCTGCGGAATTCTAATTCATGGGGAGGAATAATGTAAAATTCATTTAATACTATCAATATCCATAAACTTTTTTAAATTTTGTATAAATAAAAAAATTAAATTAAATGCATAATTCTATTTTTTGCATATTAAAAATATTAATTTCTTAATTACATTTGGTTCAAAGGGGGGCGGTAAAAAATCAATATAAATATTGGATCCGTTTTGAACCAATATCGGATCGGTGAAAAATATGTGGATCGGCACAACCCTAATTTATAGTATTGTCCATTGCATTGAATTAAAATATAAAATCGCAGTGTAAGTTAATATAATTTTCTAAGTTATTTTTATTATATATTTTTTTTAATAAATAAAGGTTTTCAATTTCGAATAAACATAATTTAAAAAATATATGAATTACAAAAATATATAAAAACTAATATAATAAAAAAATATATTAAAAATTAACGGGAGGGGGGGGGGTGAATTAAAAGATATATTTAAAATCTTGTCCTTTATAACCGAGGATGGAGATAAAATTGGATCTGCATATCTTGACTCTTGAGAGATATTCGTTGCCTAAATATAAATTTCCTTTGGGATCTTCTGTGATTGTTGTTAATTTTTTGCCTAAAATTTTTAAAAAGAGGATCGCTTCTTCACCTAAAATGTGGTAGTAATGGAAGATAAAAAATAGGTTTTATAATTGAGAATATTTGTTGTGTTTAGATGATTCGGCAGCCATAATATGTGTTGTGCTTTCTATTTTGCAAATGAGGTATGATCTCATATCAAAGATTGACCTTTCTACCAAGGCGTAAGAGTGACACATTATGGTATTTTATTGTCAAAGATATTTAATCTGGTTCTAAGGTGGAGGGAAGTTGGCTGATAGTAGGAAAGTTTTAATTAAAATAAATTATTTAAAGCTTTTTACGTTTTTATAAAAAATCGAGAGAAAGGGTTAAAAAAACGTAAGAGGACGTAAATTAATAGACGGCTTATTTTGGCATACAAGAGTAAAAAATTGGGAAGTCTGGCAACCTTGATAATAACACATTTTAAAATTTCATCTTGAATATTATTTTTGCCAAGTATATTAATTTGTCATTGATTGTATCCTGAGGTAAATTTTTTTGATGATATTTTTTATCTCTAATTATTTGATTGAAATATTGTTTATTGTAGGGCTGTGCCGATATTAAATATTGAATCGGATCGGGTTAATATTTAAAAAACCGATCCGATATTTTTTATTGTTTTGGGTTTTTTATACAAGGAAAGCATTTTAAAATATATAACGAGTCACATTCACTATTGTTATTAAACGGCTCGATTTATCCAATTTTAAAAACATTTAACTCAAGATTTTGGTCAAAATAAATTACTAAAGCTTGTTGATTTTTCCCATAGATGGCAGAAAGGTTTGGATTTCTTTGAAATTTCGAGGCTTAATAATATTTTGTCGAAATTATTTTGCTCTTTTAAAAAATCGGCTAAATGGAGCTGTTTAACAACATTACATTTACCCATAAACATGACAAATATTTTAAATAATAATTTTTGAAGAATAAAAAAAATAGGGCTATGCCGATCCAAAAAGTTATCTCAGATCCGATACCAATCCAATGTTTAGATCAAAGACCTGCAAGCCCGGATACACAGGCTGGGTTTAAAAATATTTTTTAAAAATACCCAGGCCGGGCTCTATATTTTAAACTAAATATTATAAATCGTCATTATTAAAAAATTAAAAATGAATAAAATATATATATATTATATAAAATCCGAGCCGGGTTTGATAATTTTATATTTTTAAAATGAAACAAAATAAATAGAATCCATTTGATATGATACTGTTGATACATATTTAAGCTTTAACATTTTATATTTAGTATAAATCAAATAAGCAACTGGTTTGGTTGGTGAATTTATATGAAATATAAAATTTACTTAAAATTTCAGGATTTTCAATTTATGATATTTTTAGAAAAACAAAATTTTTAATTTTATGATACTAAGTAAAGTAAAAATATCAGATTTTTTCAATTTGTTATTGGTTTGCGTCACTCCTGTGAATTTCCTATTTTCTTAAAAATAAAATTTTGCAAGTGGCCTATCAAATTTTTATTCGCCATAGTTTACATCAACTTTTGCGAATTTCTCATTTTTGTAAACTTTAAGTTTCACAAATTTATGACCGGCCTCATAGATAGATAATTTTTTAAAAAATATTTAATATATGTCCATTTATCAGATACCTCAAGATAGGTGCCGCATCAATTTTGGGTGGTACACTCCTAGGATTAACGGGTGGGCTCATAGCTGCCCCTTTCCTAGCAGTGAGCGCAGGAGCCCTCGTGGGATCGGCGTGGCTTACAACCACCCTGGGTACCGCGGCAGGTGCAGGTGCTGTCGGATCGGCTTTCGCTCTCACCGGCGCTGCCCTCACTGGCTATAAAATGAATAAACGAGCCGGGGACATTAATGAATTTTCGTTTCAAAAGCTGAAGGTTTTCCATTTAAAAAAAAATCCTTATAAGTTTTTGCGAATCACATTTTTTCTATTAATTGTTAAATATTATCTCAAAGTTCTATTCCATTTTTTATAGACTATGGGTAGTGGTAAACGTAGTTTTTTGCGGGGTCAACGCAGTTTGAAGGTAACACTATCTATCTCAGGTTGGATTAGCAAAGATTGCGATTTTGCAACGCCTTGGACAGATTTAAGGTTAACAGCTGAGGCCTATACTCTACGTTGGGAAGGAAAGTTTGTTATTTACTATTTTTTTTATAATATTTATTTATGGTCGTGATTACCCGACATACTTAGTTCTATAAAATTTCTCCACTCGAAGCTGAGTCGGAAAAAAGTATCTCTTGACTGCCCCAATGAATATTGTATTTTTAATTTATATCGCTCGAAAACTCTCCTGTTTAATATTCGATTCGAATTAGACAAGTACTAACATTCGTAATTAAACTACTTATTGCAATAATTGTTTAAAATAACTGTTTTATTTGTGCTAGACATTTTTTTTTAGAAAATAACATAAATATTAATCAATCAATTGGAAAATTATGTAATGTAAACATTTAATGTTCATTTACTGCTCATACTTTCAATTTCCCCTTGAAGCTATCTGCTTAATTGAATTTTGCTCGAAGTGATTTTTTTGGGCTAAGCTTATAAGCTCCTTTAAGCGAATAGATTAACTACACTCCTTAAAAATATACAAATTTGATTTGCTTGAAATGGGGCGAGGGGTAGTCAATTACGAAATTATTTATTCTCATAACTTTTTGAACTTTATTGCAAGAGTTCAGTTTCTACAAGATTATTATTTAAATTTAGGGGGGAAAAAAGATTTATATCGATAAAAGTTCTATAAAATTGTATATTGCTTGCTCACATTAAATGAGTGCTGTAAACTCGTCAAAAATTTTATGAATAATTTTTTAAAAAATTTTTTATTTAATATATCATACCATATATTTTTTAGCCATGTTTAAGATAAATAGTTTTAAGTTAATATTTTTATTTATTTAAATAAAATATTCTTATTAATTTTTAATATAACTTTTATATGTCCTATAAAATATAATTATTAATAAAATATATTAATTTATAATACTTTAAATTGTATTACTTAAATATAAAACCTTGATAAAAACTTAAAAATAATAGCGAAATGTTAGACTCTAAAGATGCCTATGAAATACAACAATCTATAATAAATTATTAACAGGATTAGAGTTATATTATATATAATAATAAATACAATCAAATATCTATTTAAATTAGAAGTTGAAGATTTAGAAACTTATACTTTTTGGAAACATTTTACAGTTGATAAGGATAGAATTATTTATTGTATATAATGTTACTGTGGCAATGGTAACGTTAATTCACCTGATTTACGTGATACGTGATATATAGCGCTTATGCCCTCTAGTGTTGAAATGCAACAGAGCTACGCTAGGTTTTCCTCATTTCCATCTTATTGGAACTAATTTAATTTGGGTATAAAAGTCAAAATATGAGGAGCCCTCCACACGTTTGTGGGCAAGCCGCACGTACTTGTAGGCGCAACATTTCGAAAAACATTACTTAAACCTCTATAGGCTTATTTAAAAGGGAGTGGGACAAAAAAAGAGCCTATACCCTAGAACTTCAGTGAAAGTTAATTACATTATGGTGGGTTGAGGACAATTTTAAATTAAAAATCTTTACTATATTAGAACAATTTTTAGTAAGGAAATGCAAAGAATACTTATAAGAGGATTTGAATGTTTGTTGATATTGGAAATATTGATAATAATGAGTTTAAATTTTTGAAATTTATTACGATAGGAAATATAAGATAAGGATTATTAGATAATGATAGTGAACATTGAATTCTGAGATGTATTTTTATTCTTATTAGAGGTAACTTTTCTTGATGCGAAACAGCTTTTTAATGGATCTTTTATTGTTATTTAGTTTAATGAATTGTTTCATGTTCACGTTTAAGTCCATTATATCTTTTATTGTTTTATAATACCATAATGTTTTGTATTTTGTATATTGTTTTCCATTGTATGAGTACAGCCATGTTATGGCATCATGGACTAAGTTATTATCTGAATTTCTTATTATGTGGCCTAAGAACTGAATCCGGCTTTTTTTAAGAGTAATATTTATTGGTGTGTGAGTTGACTTCCTCCAAAGATTTGAGTTTGAGATAACTCTTGGATAGAAAATACCGTGTATAGTGTGAAGACAATTATTTATAAAAGATTGAAGACGCCTTATCTCTGTTTTATTTGCCTCCCAGATATCCCCACCATATAATACAATTGGAACTATCAACGAGTTGAATATCCTCAATCTAGTAAATACTGAGATTTTTCTAGCTTTCCATATCTTCCTATATCTATAGAACGCACCTCTAGCTTTTTGTATTCTCATCTTCATCTCATCTTTACAACTTCCTTAATTATCTAAGAATACACCTAAGTATTTTATTTTCTCTACGATTTTTACTGTATTCTCTCCAACTGTAAAATTTTGAATTTAAGGCGCGTTTGGGGAGGGAAGAATAACAGTTTTGTTAAAGTTCATCCTAAGTCCAACTCTATAGCTCACAGTCTCAATTAGATAAAGTAGATTCTTGGTTTCTTCAATACTTTTCGAGATTACTACAATATCATCCGCATAGGATATTATCTTATTTACAAAAAAAATCTTCTCATTTGATCCTATATCTACTAGGTCAGCAGCTCCCAGTACATCTTTTATTATTTTATTGATTATTATGTTAAAAAGGAGAGGTGAGAGGGTGCAGCCTTGTTTTACACCTATTTTTATCCTGAAGAAGGGAGAGATTTTATCATTTATTTTGAAACAAGCAAATAAATTTGAATAGTGATTTTTTAAGATTCGAATTATTTGGGTTTCAATACCGCATTCTGCTAGCGTTTCCTAAAGAGCTACATGGTTAACGTTGTCAAATGCTCTACTAAAATCAATGAATGTGTAGAATGAGGGTATCTTGTATTTATGACACTTCTGCATTATTATTTTCAGAGATAATATAGGTTATAGTATATTTTTATTTGGCCTATAAGCACAAATATGTTTAGGAAAATGATTAGGCGTCGATTGAGCAATTTTATTTTTTATAAGTACCATAAATATTTTGGACACGCAAGATGTTAGAGCGCATGCACGATAATCAGTAAATTTTTGGGGATTTGCAGTTTTGGGGAAATTACATAAAAAGGACTTGTTCTATTCTGTTGGGGTACTTCCACTTTCCCATATTTTATTGAAGAAGGCCAGAAGGAAGGAAGATGTCGTTCTAGGTGCTATCTTTAGATACTCAGCAGTAATGTTGTCGAGCCCTGGAGCTTTATTGTTACGTAATTTTTTTATTACATTCATTATTTCATTTACCGAGAACCCAGACTGGGGTGAAGCAATATTTATATTTAAACTAGTTGGTATAGTTACTTTGCGCCCGTCAAAAACCGTAATATAATAATCAAGGCACAAAGCCATTTGTTCATCTTGGTCAATTATTACTTTACCATTATTTAATACAATTGAGGGTATCTTCTTAAAGCTACAAGGTTTACAGAAATATTTTAATTTCTTGTATGCATCATATAGTCTATTTACTCTCACATCCTTGTCAATGTCAAAAGCTTTCTTCGCGCTATAGACCCGTCTATCTCTCCGCAGTAATCTCTGTATCAGCTTCCATAGATCCTTATTAGAGCCATTCGCTATTCTTAACTGGTTTATTTTCTCAAGGGTATCATTCGACATCCATTCATTCCTTGGGATAAGACTTACTTCTGGCAGGACCTTATATGTATCAACAAGAGCATCTTTAAAAAGATTCCAACTTTTCTCAACACTTTCTAGCCTAATTGTAATCAAGAAATTGGCTTCTTTCCCACTTAATACTTGATCAAAATATCTTGCATCGTCCAATGTTCTTATTTTATTTAGTTTACGAGTTATACCATTACGCGAGGGAGTAGCACTAGAACTAGTTGAAGATTGTCTGTTTCCATTGTGATACCCCCATAAATTTTTAACCATAATAATTGCTCTAAGCAGTCTATGATCCGATAGGTTTATATTAGTTAGGGCCTTTACATCAACGAACCAACGATGGATATTCGAGATGAAGAAATCGATTTGTGATTTATGCTGAGCTCTTACAAAGGTGTAAGTACTCCTATCTCCATGGCTAAAAAAGTGTTTTCAATTTTAAAACTTTTATTACTACAGAAATCAAGTAATTTCCTACCGTATTCGCTATTCCTTTGTATTAAGGTGGCATGCCCAGTGACGTTTCTGTTCATATATTCCACTTCCCTGCCAATATTCATATTTAGAGCACCTAATATTATAATGTTATATCTCTCTGGTAAGGAGTGTTTATGTTAATTATTATATCTATAAAGGCTGATCGCTCATTCCTGTTTGGTGGGACGTAGAATGCGCTTATTGTAGGCTTGAAGTTCGTATTTAAGTATAGAAGCCCACACCTTTCCGAGATGGGTACAAATTTCATGACATATTTCTGCATTCTCTTATTAATGAGGAAAGCGATCCCCGACCAACTATTGGAGGTGGTGCCCGAACAAAACATTTTATAATCATTAAAATTAGCCGTAATATCTCCAGCGTAGTGGGTTTCCTGGATGCCCAAAATGTCAATTTTTTCCGCATCTAACATCCTTAAAAGAACTGTCAGTTTATTCATCAATCCATTAATGTTAAGAGATGCTATTTGTAGCTTACCTGTAAATTTATTCTAAACAAAGTATTTAAGCGTAAGAAACAAGGCCGTTAAGGAATTAACTATAATAGAATTTAGGAGAGTGATATTATAAGGAGGAAGATCAGACCATAGGGAAAGAAGGCGCACCAAAACAATGCTAGATACCTAGTAAGGTGTGATACATCATCCATGAAATTTTAATTTATCGTTTACTATTTATACTAGTAAGATATAAGTATAAAACAAAGGTTATACCAGCGACATTAAATAAGATATGAAAAATCTTACCAGTGAAATTAAATAAGACATTTGATAGCAAGAGTCAAGTTATGGTTAAAAATTTATGGGGGTATCACAATGGAAACAGACAATCTTCAACTAGTTCTAGTGCTACTCCCTCGCGTAATGGTATAACTCGCAAACTAAATAAAATAAGAACATTGGACGATGCAAGATATTTTGATCAAGTATTAACTGGGAAAGAAGCCAACTTCTTGAATACAATTAGGCTAGAAAGTGTTGAGAAAAGTTGGAATCTTTTTAAAGATGCTCTTGTTGATACATATAAGGTCCTGCCAGAAGTAAGTCTTATCCCAAGGAATGAATGGATGTCGAATGATACCCTTGAGAAAATAAACCAGTTAAGAATAGCGAATAGCTCTAATAAGGATCTATGGAAGCTGATACAGAGATTACTGCGGAGAGATAGACGGGTCTATAGCGCGAAGAAAGCTTTTGACATTGACAAGGATGTGAGAGTAAATAGACTATATGATGCATACAAGAAATTAAAATATTTCTGTAAACCTTGTAGCTTTAAGAAGATACCCTCAATTGTATTAAATAATGGTAAAGTAATAATTGACCAAGATGAACAAATGGCTTTGTGGCTTGATTATTATATTACGGTTTTTGACGGGCGCAAAGTAACTATACCATCTAGTTTAAATATAAATATTGCTTCATCGATGATGGAATAACAATATCCATGCTTACGCTAATCTACATAATAATATAATAATCAAATTAATAAATTATAGTATAAGACAGAAATAATGGATGGTTAAAAAAATTCAAATTGGACAAAGGAAACTGCTGATTAAAAAATAACCCTTTTTTCTTAAAAAATTTTGATTCATATGAAATTAATATTTATTTCCAAATGAATAAAAATAAGAAGATTTTCTAAAATTGAACGAACATAAAAAAAGGAACGCGTTCACAGTTTCTTTAAAATGAAAGGCGTCGTTCATAACGTTTACAACATTACATTAAATGTATAAAAATAATTATTTTTGAATTGTATATTAATTACCCAACAAAATTTTGACATTTGCTTAAATTTCTAATTTTCTTGTAACAATACTTACGCATGAAACGTGAGCAAGCCATAGGTAACAACTATAATTCATTTTAAATTTGGAGAATTTAAATATATCATCTAAGTTCATCAAGCACTTTCTTAAGCTAAATAATTATTCCTCTCTTAACCACATTTTTTTTCAGGTTTCTCAAGGACTTTGGCCAGGGAGTAGGTTACGTAGCCAACTGGGCAACGGGGCAAATAGCTCAGGAGGTTCTCAAGGAAACGGCTTTGGCAGGTGTTCTATCCGCCATAGCCTGGCCACTCACTTTACTTTCCTTGGGCAGGGTGATTGATAATCCTTGGGCTGTCGCTTTCACCCGTTCAAAACCGGTTGGAAGAGAATTAGCTAATGTATTGGCCGATAGAATTGCCGGGAATCGACCTGTTAATTTGATCGGTAATTTTTTTTTATTGCGCACAAATTGAGCATTATTTGCGTTTTGCCGTAATTTTTTAAAATTAATATCGTTGATTCAAAATTTTAACTAATTTCTAAAAAATGATTTGTTTTTAATTATATTCTCGTCTACCTTTTTGTTTCTTTAATTTCTAAATATCCAATTTTAAGATTTATGTTTTTTTTAAAACATTTTATATAGATGATTTTTCCAATTTGGACGCATGATTATACATTTTTATTTTTTTCAAATAAATATTAATTTTACCATAAGTTCCTTAGCTTAGTATAAAAATAAGTTGTAGCTTAGTATAAAAATAAGTTGTTTTTATCAATTACACGTGCATTCATATCTATTTTCCCTTATCCTCTTCGATAAAAGCATTTGGCTTAGGTTGCCGAGTTATTTACCATGCCATTAACAATTTGGCTAAAGTTCCTAACGAATCCAATAGAGGGATAATTCAAGACGTGATACTCATGGGGGCTCCTATACCCGCCAATGACGATAAATTGTACACTTCATGGATGGAAAGTATTGTGGCTGGCAAACTCATTAATTGTTTTTGCCAGAAAGATTGGATTTTAAAGTTTTTGTACCGGACCGCCTCTGCTCAGAATAAAATAGCCGGACTTGAACCAATTAAGAGGGTTAACCCACGGATTTATAATATTAACCTAAGTGATATTGTGGAAGGTCACAACGATTATATAAGGAAAATGCCTATGATACTCAAGACTCTTGGTTATAATGCTTCTAATTTCGAGGAAATCAATGAATGAAATTATTATTTAGAATTAGGAAGAAAAAATCGTAAATTTATAAATAATACGCATTTTAAAAATGTTATTCAGTATTTATTTATTCATAAATATTTAGTCTATTACTCATATAATATACAAATATATTCTCTGCCATAACATAGCTAGCTAGTCATTTTTATTTTAAAGATATTTATTAGAAAAATTATATTTGCAAATAATTATATTTATATATTTTAGAAATAATTTATATCTTCAAATAATTAATATATTAGTGTAAACAAAATTTATAGTCAAATTACTATATTGTAAAAAAAATTCCCGCCAATATAAAAATACTCAATCAAAATATCTATTATACACTTATATATTTAAATTTTGACACTCGCTAGATTAATTCAATTATTATAATAATATGATCCCTATCTATTAAATAAAATTTTATTATGACCTTGATATAAAATTGCTTTAAGGAAGAAAAAAATAGAAATATATGATAAAAATGTAAATGGGGAAAAATTGTCTAAATGTAGTTCCAGGAAAATTTAATGATTTTTATTGTAAAAGGTCAAATAAACATAAAAGCATATATGCTAACATAATTAGTGTAACGAATTTGGAGAAGTAACTGAAATGAATGAAAAGCATCTTTTTAAAAAATAATATAAGAAATTATATTAAATAAGCAGGCCATTTTGTTTATTTGTTACTTAATTCTAAACTTATCACAGGATTGTCATTATAATGAAGTAATAATTTTATAAAAACCCATATAATATAATTCGATAGGAATAATATACACTTAATATTTAGGGCCTTTCTTATTTTTATATTAGTATTGAAGATGTATACAAATTTATGTTAAAATAATAATTATATAAAATAAGTTTTTTTTAAAATGGTTAATACGATAAGACTGTAAAATTTTATTATACAGAAGATGCAAATTAATTTAATACAATTTTGTCAAAAAATTATCGTTTATTATTGAACTTTAAAAGTTTAAATTTGATTTTAAATAAATCTCAGTCTTCATTAACAACATTTACAGCTAGGTTATCCCGAATTTACTTGTATATGGTCTCAGAGATCTTATAACATTTTAAATTTAATCCCATACTAAACATAAGCAGTATATTTAATTTATATATTAAATTTTCAGTTATTATAGGAATATTACAAGCAACTATAAGATTGGTTATTTTTTTAATTCCAGATTAAGTAAAGTCATCTTTAAAAATATGTTTCTCCTCTTTGACTAAGAAAAAACATAAATTATTTCGCCTTTATAGTTGTATTTTTTTTTTAAAAAAAATATTAAATTATATCAGTGAATCCTGATATTTTACTGAACCAGAACCCCGAATCTATTTTTTAAATGCAGGTTCAAGAATTTTTTTAAAATATTTATTTATTAAAATATCTTTATTTAATTTTTTTTAAATTATAAAAAATTTAAACAAATTAAAAATATATAAAATAAAAAACATTAAATATTTAAAACATGATTGCTGTTATTATTTTCAATATTAAAAACATTTTCGCGGAATCATTTCTTATATTTGTATATCCATTTTTTGAAATTTAAAAAATGACACCAAACCCTAAACTGGTTTAGAGATTTTTTATTAAACCCGAACTATATCCCCCTTTTAAGTATTGTATTAGCAATTAACGCATTTTAGAGGTTAATGTTGCTTTCACCTGGTTTATATATCAGAGATCTTCAAAAGTCGATTTTGAAAAAAAATATTGGCCTAGATTTTTTTATTTTTAATGATTTTATCACCTGGACTGAAATTTTACCCAACTTAACTGATATAATTAAATTTACCGGTGATTGATATAAAATATCAGTTAGGCCTTTTTATTTCCAACAAAAATCAAAAAGGATACTTTGCTTATCGTTGTATTATATGACTATTTACAAACACGTCAGAATTTAGCAATAGTCGATGTTAGAACAAATTTACTTAATAAAAATTCCGACACATTTTTATTTTGAAAAAATACATAACACTGGATTTTGCAAAATAAATTAACAAGTCTTTTTGTTCGAATTAAAATGCGGGGGAAAAAATAATTAAATGCTAGCCACAGCTTTTTTGGCCGCTTCGTCTAAATTCTTGGCAGTTATAATGTTCAAACCACTTTTTTCGAGAATCTTTTTACCTTCGTCTACATTGGTACCTGTTTAATTATTTAAGAAAATATAATATAGAATGCAAGATATGGAATCGGAGTTACCCCTCATTTGCAGTTAGCACAAATTTGTGGGGAAGAATACAAAAGTACAGCATATTCTGTATATCTCGCCGCGAATTCGTGCCAACTGTGAACGAGGGGGTTAGGGTTCTGAACATTCTTTATTTTAAAAAGGGGTTCCAGTTAAAGATCTTCAAAATTGAGACATTTTGGCTAAAGCCTGCATCCGGCATGGTTTTTTTTGGATCTAAGCTTAGCCCATGGTTCGAATGTTAAATTATAAGAAATCTCAAATATATTTATTTATATTCTATAATATTCTATTTATATTATAGAAAGTGATGAAAATAAATAGTAAATAAACCCAACTCCTTAATTTTTTATAAATTATCGATATTCATAGTTATAATTTTCAAAATGCTAGGGATTATAGCTGTATAGATTTGTCAACATCTTATATAGATATTTCTCAGCTATATTTATACTACTATGATAGTATACAATATTGGTAATATTTTGAGAATGCTTTTAGTTGTAATTTTTAAATATTTCCTTTTTGGACCATCAATTTAAAGCAGCCAATGAAACCAATTTATGAAGTCATTTTCTATTTAAAAAATTACTGCTCGAAACAAAAATTGTTTGCTTACTATGTTGTGTGGAGATTCCTCTATTACCGAGAACCCAAATTAGACACGTTTAAGTGATCGAATTTGGTAACATAAAAATTAAATTTAATAGAAAAAGTAATGAGATAAATTAATAATGAACCAACCTTCTAAGCGAACTATGAGGGGTATTTTTAGGTCGATGGTTTGACACGCGTTTTTGATACCGTTTGCAATGACAGCGCAATTAACTATGCCGCCAAATATGTTGACTAGTATGGCTTTTACCTTATTGTCATTTTTTTAAAGTATAATTGGAAAGTTAACCTTTAACTTTATTCCTCCAGCTGAAAAAAAATTTGGGTTTAAAATATTAAAATTTATTATTATTATTAAGAAAAAAAAAGATATAGAGTAAAAAAAATACTTAGGATATTATTTAATCAATTTATATAAAGTAAAAAATTTTATAGGTATAATTAAGAGTTTCATAATAAACCTGAGGATCTTTGCTTATGATTTTGAAAGCCTGATACACTTGATCTTCCGTAACGTTGCCACCGACGTCTAAAAAATTGGCAGGCTTTCCCCCGTAGAGCTGAATGATATCCATTGTGGCCATAGCTAAGCCAGCTCCGTTAACTTTTTAATTTTTTGATTAAAAAGTTTGTGGTCATTGCAGCGCAGTATATTTTTTAAATTAATGTATTGGTGTGATGGGGGGTTACCATAAGAAAAGATGGTAACTTTATCCTGATGATTATAATTCACATCAGATATTGTGATTGCGATAATATCAGCAGCAATTTTTATCATTTAAAATTTATGTAATTAATGTTCAATATTTATTCTAGTTGATAAAATTCCAATATAATGAGCTTGATAGATTTAAAATTAGTTGTTATTCATATTGAAATTTAATAACTAATTATTAGTTCGGATATTTTCAATTCAAATATGAATATTAAAAAAATCGCTAAATAATAAACATATTAAACCATTATTTGTATTATCAGAAATAAAGATGGGCACAGCCCAAGCCGTGTGCTCATTTGGCCCAGCTTGTAAAATATATTTTGTGCAAGTTGTCAAATCCTCCCTGTAAAATTTTTTGTGAAGGAAAACGACACAAATTTGCCTAATTATGAGCTTTAAAAACATTTTCAAAATTATAGACCAAACGGCCCGTAAAAATGCTTTGAAAAAATTTTTCCCTGCCAACAGGCAGAGCTTTTGGGTCACGCCAATTTCAAATCTAATGCTCATGAGCTTTAAATTCACTAATGTCCCACAATCGTTTCCAATTCAACAAACCACTTATTCCCAACTAAAAAATAATCAATTTAATTATTCAATAAGGCTAACAAATGGATATTATTCAAAAATCTATTTATGTATGCATTCTTTGGTGAACTACAAGAATTATCGAATATACCTAAACATGCGATATTGCCTTGCATGCCTATGTAATTCAGATGAAATTTTCTGGCCTCAACCTCCCTTGGATCGCTTTCTGAGAAATCGTCCATATCGAAAATCTTCTTCTGCCTGTATTCCGCGTTGTCGTCAAAGTTTATTTTGGCGTCGAAACATATAACTTGTATTTTCAATGGATGTATAAATAAAAATAATTTAATTAAAATTTAGTTTGGTAGTATATAATATTTGAAAAATACATGATTTTTTAAAAATAATACATTTTGTTAATAAATTGTCGTAGTCAAAATTCTAATAAAATATCTAAAAAGGTGCTGATTGGAGAAATGGGGATACTACTAGTCTGTTCCTCCCCCTATCAAATTTATTGGAGCGATTTAGGCACGCTTTTTGAGGTAGCATAATAAAAACAATTGGTTTTACATTATTTAATCTTAAAAATTTGAATTATATATAATTATCATTTTAAGAAAAATTGTTGGTTTAATTATTTATTTTCTTAATTTTTATCTGCTTTCGAAGGATCAAAAAGCAAAGTCATTATGAACGCTTGGCTGACACAAGCTATTTATCCCTGTGGTACCTTATTTGTATCGACTGCCGTCAGATTTGACGGAGATTCGCTCCTCCATAATTCTAGGTACCCCACACCACTATGCGCAATCTTTTCTAAAATGTTCCTATAACTAGTAATCATTTAAATAACATTTCAGTTTCTCGATCGACTGATTTTTATAAAAAAAAATTGGGGGTTATTTTTTAACGGGTAACCCACTATAATTTATATTTGGTCTAAATATATCAAATGTTTTGTAGCTTCTAAAGCAACTATTACTACATATAATCAAATGCGCGTCGCTTCTAAAGCGACTATCACTACATATACATATAAATATTTTTGATCTTTTTCCGAAAGTATTTATTTTTATCATTTTAGGTGTTTTATATCATCGATCGACTTACCACCACAATTATTCCGGAGTGAATAACCATGCCAATTGGAACAATGGTTCTCAATTCCCTTATACGTTCTAACTTTCTTATTACAGGCGTAGAAGAAACAGCAGTACAAGCCATTCCGGAGACTGAGATTTCCACCCTATGCAATGAGGGAATAATTTATTTTTTGACCGGCGGGCAACTCCGACTCCACCGGAGTCCGTGTTTGACCATAGTTAGTATTATCTACTGATTGGAAATCGCTGGATGAATGATTACGGCGCCGTAAGCCAGCCCCTGGTCTTATAGGTCTTGCTGCATCCTTCATGATTAAAGTCGAATCAGAAGCTATCGCTAGAAATTACATATGTGTTTGCCATAAAATGCTTTTTCATATTCTTCACGTTGGTATAGGTAACCGAGCATCCTGGTTGCGAAAAGGAAAAGTAGGTGATGGGTCCTGCAATCCGCATCTTAATGAGGGTGCGAGTGTCCTTTTCGATGTTTTTCAAACCCATGCTTTCCGTTAGTTTATCTATTTCTACGAAATCAGCTAACGAATTGCACTTGGCTTTCATGTTAGAATATAACCCACGATCGCCTGGCTACCGTTTGCGATTAACCATTCTAAATCTTTGTCAAGGTAGTAGCATTTGCGGCTAACGCATATGCCAAATTCTAACGATAGCCTCTGATTCGTCTATAATTATGATGGATGCAGCAAGATCTATAAGACCAGGGGCTAACTTATGGCACCGTAAAAAGTTTCATTCATCCAGCGATTTCCAACCAGCGGATAATACGAACAACGATCAATTTGTTCTCTTGTTGCGTAGGGTGGAAATCTTAGTTCCTCCGGAAAGGCTTGTACTGCTGTCCTTTGGACGCTTGTTATAAGAAAGTTAGAACGTATAAGAGAATTGAGAACCATTGTTACACTTGGCATGGTTATTCACTCCGGAATAACGGTGGTACTGATAGTGGGTGACTGATGATATTAAACACCTAAAAATGATAAAAAATACTTTCGGAAAAAGATCAAAAATATTTATATTTTATATGTAATGATAGTCGCTTTAGAAGCGACGCGCATTTGATTATATGTAGTAATAGTTGCTTTAGAAGCTACGAAACATTTAATATATTAAAACTGAAATATTATTTAAATGATTACTAGTTATATCAACGATTTAGAAGAGATTGCGCGTAATGGTGTAGGGTACCTATAATTATGGAGGAGGGAATCTCGATCTGACGGCATTGGTTAGATATAAGGCACCACGGAGATATTGAATTTATAGAGGACGAATATTGCCACTATTTAATAACAAGCCCACAGAAAATGAGTCATACAAAATTAAACAATATGGTTGTCAGGAAATAGGTCATGAAACGTTGGTGAAACCAACAATATGCTATTTAGTCGATACTAAATAACAGCTATTAAATAATAAGTTGACTTAGGACATGGCCTATAAATTTTATTTCTTTATTTCAAGTTAAAAATATCTTTAGTTTACATAATAAATTTGTCAATCGATTAATATATCAATTTGTGTAGAAATATATATAATAAAAAAATATTCTTACTATAATTTATATTTTTTTTAATGATGAAAAGTGAAGTGTTAAAATAATAAAAGTTAATTTTAAACCTAAATAAAAATACTAAAATTAATTGAAGTTAATTTTAAAAATAAAATAACTACTATTTTAATTTATTTCTCCCTATTGATCCGCTATAAATTTCTTAAGGGTAAAACAATAATGAATATAAAAGAAGATAAAATATTAACAAAAGTGAAAACTTAAAATATTTTAGTCAATAGCAAATTCAAATACCTTTTCCATCGCTCGTTTCGCCGAGTGGATTGATTTCTATCTGCGTAGCATCGACTGCTATAAACATTTTGTATAAATTCATGATCTGAGTGGTAGCTTGCTCCAACAATGTACTAGAAAATCCAATATTTTTGGCCATTATACGAGCATTGTGTCTATACAAACCCTCCCTCACATCTATTTCTTGCTTAAGATTTTTATAATTTTACAAAAAAAAGAAGTTTATATTGCATTAAGAAAATATTAGCGAAAGCCTGATTCCAGGAATCGTATTTGGAATTGTAAAAAGACGCAAACAGTAGTTTATTTATAAATTTTTACAGAAAACAGATGCTTAATGAACTAAAATACGTGTCAAATTGATAACTTTTTCTTAAAAATTATTTTTTTTCTTGCAGGTAGTGATGTTAAACTGCTCGGTTTGAGCCGAATTTTAAACACGGCCAATTCAATATTTTATCCAAATAAATATTACACAAGCCTAAAGATTTTGCTTATAGATGCCAAGAAGGTTTGAACATCTATTAGCGAATCGACGTTTATGCAATATTTGTCTGGTTAAAATATTGAGTTAGCCTATTATAAAAATCGGCTCAATTCGAGCTGTTTAACAACACTATTTGCAAGACATATATTATGAAATATTTTGTATATTATGAAACTTGAATTAAATAATAAAAAAATAGATATTTTTTATTTTGAAAAATCATGATTTTTAGAGCGTTACCGATCTGCAAATTTTTCCCCGATTCGATATTTCCGATATTATTACATAACCGATATTTAAATAGAATTTATTTAATAAATGCCATAAATATATATTTTCTATTCATAAAACAACGTTTATAAATTATTAAGTGTATTTTGGTTTTTTTAATCTCAAAAAGTTAATTATTTCATTCAAAATATGGGCAATGTTGATGGCTGAATATAGTGTTGTTAAAACGTTTTTTAAAAACGGCTATCAGGATTTTAGCCAAAATTTTATTACTTAAGCTTTGAAATTTTGAATAGACTTCAAACCTTTCTCCCAACTGTGGGCAAGATCTCAAACTAGGATAATTTACTTTTGGCTAAAATCTTGAGTTAGCTTTCCAAACATAATGTGGCTTGCTAGTTATTTTAAAATCATTTTTTTTACAGATATAACAATTTTTTTTAATTTTTAGCTACTCTATCTTGTCAAAATCGTTTTTATTAAATATAAGCCAGAGACCTGCAGAGGTACCATTTGTACGGCCCGGCCCAGATTAAAAAATTTTCGGCCCAGCCCGGATTTTTTTTCAAAATTTTTTTACGGCCAAGCCCGGCCCAGGTTTAAAAATTTTAAGCCCGGCCCGAATATTAAAAAAAAAATTTTTGGGGGCCCGGCCTGGATTTAAAAAAAAATATTTTTTAGGCCCGGCTCGGAATTTTTTAAAATTATATTCGACCTGGTATATACAAAAAATTCATTATTTCGTATTTTATCATATCTTTCGGCGAGTATTATCATTTAATAAGCAAGTATATTAGCTAATGTTGTTAAACGGCTTGTTTTGAGCTGATTTTTTAAAACGGCTAACTCAATATTTTCGCCAGAAAAATATTGACTAAGTCTCGATATTTCGATACTATATGTCTAGACCTTTGCTCCTTTTATGAGCAAAATTTTCAGGCTTGCACAATATTTTTCTGGATAAAACACTGAGTTAGCCGTTTTTAAAAATCGGCCCAAAACAAGCCGTTTAGCAACACTAATATTTTATTTTTTTTTATTCTAAACAGATATTTAGTATATTACAAATTGATACTATAAAAAATTTATGTAAATAATATCTTGAGAATATACTATGTATTTATAAAAAAATGAAAATGATATTTTAATTAATAAAAAATAAAACATATATTATATAATAATGTATTTAATCCTTTGCGTATTTATTCCATGGCAGGAAAACTATAATTTTATAATGTAATAGATACTATGAGTGTTAGCTAGTGTTAACTTTCACCAAATATCATATTAATTATAACTATATATAATCATTATAACCATATCTAATTAACGAATATAATTCATGTTGTATAAATTTTTTAAAAAAAATTTTCAGGCCCGACCCGGTTATATTTTAAAAATTTAAAATACGGCTCTGCCCTGGTACCCGGGCCGGATTTAGGGCCGGGCCTGCAGGTCTCTGATATAAGCATTACAAATGATTTAAATTCCTTTTATGAATAACAATAATTATTATTAGAAATTATGTATAAAATAGAAGATATTAATTATGTAATTATAATATACAATCAGAATATAATTAAAAAAGTGAAGCGCTAAATATCGGTCCCGATATGAAAGTGAATATGGTCATAGACCTAATGGATTTAACCCCTATTTGCAAGTATCTAAATACACGATTTATAAAATGCACTATCATTATGAACCCATTTTATTTGATTCCAGAAAATATTTTCTAAAAGCCAGAGTTCACTACGGGTTCCAACTCTGATGAAGAACAATGCAAGATGAAAATTATATTAATCATGACAAGAATTGTACCCAAAAATATTTTACTCTTTTCCAAATACGAAAGGAAAAGATTTTTTTAGAGTGTCATGGACTTTGGTGGCTTCAGCGCTTTATTCGAAAAACAAAAACTCAAACTTTTTACAATAAATGAAGTAAAAGTAATACATGCAAAATGTCAATAATACATATACATTTATTTTCTTATATATAATATTAGTATATCGGGTATCAGTGCTAACAAGACAGGAATGGAGGATAAGACAAATATCTTTAAAACATTCAATATCACTAATGAAATTGAGACCCAATAAAAAAATAATAATAACATGGTAATTCCAAAAAGTTTTCTATTATTGTCATTAAAGAAAATAAATAAAATTAAAAATATATTTTCAAATTTTGGAAATTAAGTCGAAATAAAAGTAAACTGGAATGATTTTTGAATAATGATAAATTAAATAATAAATTTGTATAATTAAAATATATTTAAGGCACGAAAAATGATTTAGGGACACTATTTATATTTTTTTTTATTTAGGACACAACCTAAAAAAATTATTATTCTTGGTATAAAATAGATATCCAAATTCGGATTGTATTCGATTATTAGGGGTGTACCGATACCACTTTTTGGAGGCCGATCCAATCCGATATTCCCGATATTAAATTGATATCGTAGATTACCGATCCGATATCATATCTAATTTTGTTTTCTATAAAGATACCAATGGTTTTAATTTTTAATATACTTTTTATTAGTATAACATCTATAATTTAACTATACCATAGCTTATGTCATTTAAATATATTATAATAATCAGTTATAGTTTATATTCAATTCAATAAAATATTTTTATTGTTAAATCACAATCTATAAGTAATTAAACAAATATATATGAAATTTGAAATATATTTTAAATAATATTTAACATTAATATATCAAGGATTTCTTTTTAGAAATATCAATATTTCCAATTTATCAGAGGTGAGCCTGTGGCGATGGTAACTGCCAATATCACCAGCTTCACTAAAAACTGATTCTGAAGAGATAATCGCACACTTTTATAAAAAGAATGCCCAAAAAAATAACAATATGGCAGAATGTTTATTAATTAATTTATTATTATTAAAAAAACTACATAAAATGGATTTCGATTTTATTTATAAAAATAAATGATCTTAGATAAAACTTTTTTTAAAAAATTTTTATAGATAAAACTTTTTTTAAAAAATTTTTATAACATTTTATTTTTGTTAAAGACGCCATTTTATATCGGATCGGAAAATTTTATAATATTGGCCGATAACCGATAGTTTAAAATGGGTGAAATATCGGCCCGATACGACCCGATAAAAAATATCGGTACATCCCTATCGATTATAAACCGAAATTTTGTTACATATATAAACCAGGGATGTGAATCCTTAGAACAAAAAAAAGGGTGCGAGTTCAGGAATAAAATTTTATATTTTTTTAAAAAAATTTGAATTATAGTCGTTAGTTATTAACTTTTATTAATTTTACTTTCGAATTCCTCCTAAAATATATTGTATATATTTTTGGGGTTGAGGGGTATGTGGGGTGAAATTTTTTATTAGCTTAAAATGATATTTACGAGAACAGGTAAATTTGCCATGCCACCCTTCCCTCCTTCTTGATTAGCGCCTGCTATTCCCAATATCACTTTCTAAAATTGATATAAAATAAGATAAAGAACGTATTCCTATTAAATAGCATATTAATAAATTATCATTTACTTACACTATAAAATTCACAATATTTCATTTTCTAAAATTTATAGAAGTTAAAACAAGATATTACCTATAAAATGGAAGTATTAAAAACCAAAAAATTTTTAAAAACGGGGAGAGAAAAAAAAGAAAAATGTAATTTTTTTGGCACCCAGAACCTTTCACTTTTAAAAAGAGCCTGGATTGGATTCAGTGAAAATGCTAGGGTTCAGGGTCCGGGTATAAAATACTGGTCCAAAAAAAATATAGTAAAATTTTTTTCACTAAAGTTTTTAATTCTCTACTAATAACGTGCACTTTATGTTACACAATTTTTTTTATCTGCCTTAATGAAATTACGTAAAATTTCCCCCTTTTAATCTATATTATAAAAGATTTGTATAATGCAAATATTGTTAATTAATAAGGAATCCAATTTTAAAATATAATTTATATAGTTTTAATTTGAAATTGAGATGATCATTAATTTTTAATTAAAATTTAAAAAGATACATATAAAGACCTAGTTCAAACTAAGCAAAAATGACCAATATATGTGAACTCAATAGAAAATTTACACTTAAAATGATTATGTTGACAGACAGGCAAAAATCAACTGTGGAATTTTTTATGGGGCTTTTCAACACAGTCCATAATTATTTTTAATCAGTGAAGCCAGTAAAATATATTTGGTTTTTCAGCTTGTAATAATTATTTATGAAGTAAATAGTCTAATATAAATTTGCCTAATTGTCAGCTTTAAAAACATTTTTATAACATTGACCCAGACTGGCATATAAAAATATTTTGAACAATTTGTCCAGCCTAGCACAAAATCCTTTTTCACAGTCTAGCCCATGGGGCTCAACATTTGGGTTAGGCTGTGCTTACCTCTAGCTTAAAATACATATTTCTTGTTATAACATCTCCCTAATATTCAAAACTCAAGAAACATTATAAAGGTACTATTGTACATGTAAATATTATTTTTTAATAGCTTTGGTATATTAAATTATAAAAAATATTTTAATATTGGCTAAAATACTTTAAATATAAGATTTGGTGTTTTTTCAGCAACTTCTTCGATATCCATTCCACCAGCAGGACTGCCTATCATCATAGGCCCCCCAGAACTTCTATCCATTAAAAAGGCAAGATAAGTTTCCCTTTTTATATCTATAGCCTCTCCAATCAAAACCTAAATTTGCATGATAATAATTTTTATAATTATAACTATGACTTATAGTTAAACAAGGGCCCTATACCACAATGATTTGGTAAAAGAGGGGGGGGGCACAGTACAATAGCCTTATTATTATAATAAAATATTTTATACAATAGCATATCAAAAAGTGTTTAATATATATTTTTGTGTATAAAAATTGGGTTCATTCTTCTTAATTTACCTTAAATTATGATTTAATAAAAATGTTTAATGCAAATGTTGTATTATGTACAAGGTTGCCACAAAATTTTATTACACATTTTATGAGAATGCAGTCCCCATATCCCCCCCCCCACCCATGGGCCTATGCACCACTTTTTCCCAACATTTGGCAAGGTCTCACTAGTGACATTTTTAATATTAGTGTATTTAAATAATAACTTTTTTTATCACAATAGTGACCCACAAAAAAATACCCCTAATATCAAAAACTTTTGCAAATGTATCTTCCTCTTCATCTCTTGAAGACATCTAACTCTTTCAAATAAAAGATAAAATTAAATGCCATGAATGGCTATATACTTAGCCGAGCAAAACCCCAGGGTATCTCTTAACCAATGAACAATTAAGAGTGATAGGATATAGATTCGGATGTGACCTAGTTCAGCCTCATCATTGCATGACCTGCAACCTCTTAGTAAATGAAGTCAAGGTTGTCATAAAGAGGGTTCTTTGAAAAATAAATTAGCCTCCTTTTAAAAAAAGTTCACATACATATTCGAGAACTCTGCAATCTTTGAGCAGACAATGACCTAAGACTGGACCACTATCACTGAGCAAATCCCTTATTTAAAAATTTGGATCTATACATTTGTCTCATCCTTCCCCATCTATAAATAGCAGACTCTAGCAGAAACTAAAAAATATAATATTCTTGCCAATTGCAACTTCCATCAATGAACAGTTTGATCTTATTACTATTAGTTTTTTTGAAACTTGAACCTAGGAAATTCTTATTCCTTAGGCAGAACATGTAAATAAACATTTTTAAAATTAATTATGTTTAAAATTATTTTGGCTGAAAAATTTTTTTATTCTTTTTTTATATATATCTATATTGCTTTTTAGATTTACATAATAACAAATTTCTCATATATTATTTGAAATTAAAGAAATTTTGTTTATTTAATCTTCATTGCAAAAATAAGCATTACTGTATTATATTTTGGATCCCCTATTTTATATACTTTTAAGCCCATCAAGAAGGAAAACAATATAACACAAATTAATCAAAGATTTATTTTTCAAATATTAAAAAATTTAAAAGGACTCTTAATACAATTGGCAAGATAATCATTTATTCAACAAAAAAAATATTTATAGATTTTTAAAAAAATAGAAAGAGGGAATTGAATTCCTTGATTTTGAAATTTCTTTTTTGGACATATATAAGACATGAAATTTTTATTTTAAATAATATAATTATTGGAAAAAAATATAGAAATGTGGGAGATTTTTGGGTGTTTTGGGAATTTAAAAAAATAGGTAGAATTATGGTAATTGAGTTGAGTGTGGTAAATTTTGACTTATTAAAAAATTGTGGTAGTCTACTAGTCAATGTGGTAGCCCTGGCAATCCTGCTCATCCAACAAAAAAACAAAATAATTTTATATAAATATGCACACATCCTCTCTACCTTATAATCAAGTTTAAAGTGTCAAATTTATTCATTTTATAAATACACATATAATCTCTCCAAGTTGGTAGTAAATTTATGCATAGTTGGTTATGGTGGGGTGATTTAAAAATTACAATACATTATAATTAAAATTTCAAATATTTATCACTATTATAGTAAATGTATGTTAATATAAATTAGTTGTGCATTTAATATAATCACTAACTATATATAAATTACTTTTTTGACTAATACACCCTCTGGGGGAGTTTGTTTAGTGATTAATCTATTATTTATCATTTTATCAACTATCCCTGGAATTTTATTTGAACTATTAAATATAAAAGATTATGGAATTTTTTTATTTAAAATTACTCTTTCAAAATTTGAACTCCTCCTTTAAATCCATTGGAAAAAATACCTTTACCTCTACCACCAGCTAATATTTGAGCTTTAATTACATATTCTTTAAAATCTAATCACTATTTATAATATATAATTCTCTAGCATAAAAAAATACTTAATTCATTAACAACTTGAGCTGCCTGTGCTCTATTTTCAACTATTTTAAAATTTTGAATTGATACATTATATTTTTCCATGAGTGTCTTACTCTGATATTCCTGAAGATTAAGATAACGTTTGGTAACATTAAAAAATTGAATGGGATTCTAAAAATAAATTAATGAAGCATAGTAATTGAGAATAAATTACCTTTTTAAGCATCATTGCTCAGGTGGAATTTAACAAATATTTTTGATTAAACCATCAAAAAATATAGTTATTTATTTAAAGTGTTGATGTCATGTCATCTGACTGCACAATTATTATGACGAAGTTTTTAAAACATTCTCATAATCAAATGTGTAACTAAAACTAAATTATAATGATAAAAAAACGTAAGGACTAATAATTTGTTGATCTATTGAAAATATTATAAGTAAAACATATTTAAAAAATATATCCAATGGTATAGAGATAGAGTTATTTAAAAGCATACGAGGTTTAAAAGTTCTCCATAACATATCTATTAGTGTTAAAGCCCGATTTAAGTCGATTTTTCAAAACAGCCCAATTAAGATTTTAGCCAAAATGGTATTAAGTAAGCATGGAGATTTTGCTCATAGATATAGAGCCACTTGTAAATTTAAAATTTTTTTATATCCCAAAAAAGTCATTTTGAAAATATTAACAAAAAAGGTAATTTTGATAATGTTAGCTAAAAAGAAGGTCGTTTCAAAATAATTTTAAAGAAAAGATCCCATGAAATTATAAAAACTAGTGACACCTCTGCTCATAGCACTGTTTACCCATTGAGCCATGCAAATGGGCCTTATAAGCTGCCCCATCAGATCGGTCTACAGGGCAGAGACCTTCATGGATCTTAATTTTTTGATTAAACTCGGCTCAAACCCGCAGTAAAAAATTTAGACTCAGACCATATTTAATATTTTAAAAATTCTCAAGCCCCTAATAAATTCCAAAAAAAAATCCCAAGCTCGGTCAAAGCCCATATCCATAAATTTAATTTATTGTAAATAATAAAAATAAATAATATTTAAATGTATTTCTATTTAGGCAATAATTAATCTAACACTGAAAATTATGATTATTAGAAGAAAAAAATTGCAACTTTTTTAAAGTCAACAACTGTTATAAATAAGGTAAATCTTAATTAAAAAAAGTTAGTCCAGCCCTACCCAAACCCATTAAAGAAATTTAAACCCTAGGTCCGCTAGAAAATATAATAATTTGCCTATAGGTTGTAGTAGGCTCGGCCCATGAAGATCTCTGCCAACAGGGTAAAAAATAAGGCATTGCAATTATTTTTACTATATATAAACTTAACTCTGATTGAGCTCAGTTAAAAACTTTTCAGAAATTTTAAATTCTTATTTTGAACCTATTTTAAAATTGCTAGTTGTAGAAAACTGCTAAAAATTTTTTACTCTACAAAAACAATAAAAAATATTCTGTTTTGAGTCCAAATTAAAGTTTTTGGTAACAGAAATTTTTTTCTTAAATTTATGTATTTTTGACCGGTGTATTTTTTCCTTGGGAAATTTTGTCCAGCGTTCCCTAACATTTTGTTTATGTTTTATCCAGAATATTTCGGTTCGAGATTCGAAAAATAATCTTGATTTGACTCAAAAAACAATTTAATTTACATATTAAATATTTTTATTTTGTAAGAAGACCTCACAATATTTTGGTTTAAATCATTATAGCTAGAACATTCTTATAACCTGCATTAACTATAGAACTGCCTAAATTTATTTTGACATTTCCAAAAAATCTAATATTTCCCACAATTGCAAGAAAAAGAATATTTGGAATTCATTTAAATCTTAAGAGATGTTACTAATCAAGAATTCAGCAATTTTTCATTGCCCAGTCCCCTCCTCTCCCTCTTTTGAAACGATAATTTCTAATTTTTAATTTATAAAAAATACCTTCAAAATTTTTTTTTTATCTCATTTCCAACTTGTTAAAATTTTGTTCACTATTTTTTTAGTTTTAATCTATTTTTGATTTAATATTTTATAATTTATGCCAATCTTACTCGTAACTTAATATTACAATCGTGTATCTTATTTTCATAAAATTTCAAAAATGTTAATGAGAAGGTTTTGAAATGATTTTGTTCTATGAAAGTGTCTTTAATTTACTTTCTCGCCTCATTTAAAATACTAACCTTTTCCGAAATCTTAAATTGTAAAGGATATAATAAATAATTAAGGAAAAAAATTTGTAGAAAGGCGAGCGTTGGGATATATTCCAATTTTATCGGAACCCATCTAGCCCTTTTTTAAAAGAAAAATAATGGAAGGTCTTAGTGATTTGTTTTAGAGTTATATTTCAAAATGTGATGTTTCATTTGAGCCATCCGGTATAAATTTTTTCCCATTGAATTAGATCGTTTGGTAAGAAATTGCGGTTATCCCTCGAGGTCGAGGTGACCATTAACTATCCTTAATAGAACTTAGATTTTTCTACGAAAAACCTAAAAGATGCATATTATTTAGCATTTTATTTTATAATGATCAGAAAAATATAAGAGATTGAATACAATAAGATATTTTTTGAGTCTATTTATATAACTTTTAGTAAATTTATGGAAATTGTTTATATAAAAGATAATATACTATGATGTTGAGTATTATATATACAATCGATTATTCATTATGCCTTATTTATAATTTTTTCATTTGCCATTCTTTGATAACTTGTTTGAAATAATGTTTCTAAATAATTAGTAATTTTTTAATGGCGTTACGTTCAGGATCGTGATAATAATTTTAGGGGCCTGGAGTGAAAATGAATTAGGCGACACTTTACAACCCTCCAATTTACTTAAGCTTAAAATATTGTATTCGATTAGTCAATGCAGCATAAATGAATTAGGCAATATATAAGCAGTATATTTTAGAGGGTGAAGAGGGGGGGGGGGTGGATAGGAATTAAAACGCAACATCTTTTAGTAAATATCTCAAAGGGGTTACCTTTTTAAAATTATTGAACCCCACTCAGTTTTTAGAAATGCAATATATCTGATATGTAATTAATTTTCTACATACTTCATAGTCTTCTTATTTTCATGATGCAATTGCCATTATATTTATTTTTCAAATTTTAATTTTCATACAGTTCTTATTTTAGAGACTAATCTTGAAAATAGTTTATTGTTAAAATCAAATAAAAATTTATTAAACCCAATTTTTTCGAAAATAAATATCATATTTGCGTTATTTCTTTTAGTAATAAATAAATATCATTGTAGTATATTTTTTCAGTGAAATTATTTCTTTATTTAATTGTATTTTCAAATAAATTATTAATATTTGTAAATCGTAAAATTATTTCCCATTATAAAAAAAATTATATTAAAAATGTTGAGTTATATAAATAATTATTATTTACTTTTAAAATGTAGCACAATTTATTTAAGAATATAACTTGTAACTGTAACTAGTTACTTTTCAAAAATAACATTTGATAATATGCTAACTAAACTACTATTTTAATTGGGCTCTTTTATTTCAAACCTATGCAAATTTTGTAAATGGAATCTATAAATTATCAGCACAGATGGTTATAGTTTGAGAACTTGTATCACCACCCTCTTGATTAATATTTTATGATTCTTACCTCGTTTTTTCTAACATCTAGCGAAATAATTCTATTTTTTGCGCCTAAAACAAGTTAACAATTTAGCTGGACATCTTTTAAGTCCTTAGGCTGTATCATGGGTCAGCTTGATTTGGATAATTAATTGCTTTTTAGCATAAGCTAAAAAGTTTTTGAATCTTGGACACTTTATTTTGGTTTATTTTAAGTATTTGGTGGAATTGTTATTTATCGTATTTTTTTTTTTGGTTATGTTATTTTTTCTTTGTTTTTTTTTCGTATTTATTATTAAGCCGACCTAGGACATGGCTTTAATGTTGAAGTTGATTCATATTGATTTCATTTATATTGGTTTCTGTTAAAATTACTCCCAACTACTTAATGTATTCGTTCTTTGTTTTTAAACTAGTTTATTTTATATTATTGACAAATAATAAAACCCCCTTCTATTATTCTCTATGTTCACTCGGTTTGATCTTTATTTAACTTTTATCCATTTCCGAGGCAAACGAAACGCTAAAATCCAGCAAATTTTTTAAAATAAAAGTTGAAAAATATTTTCATGATAGATAATTTGACATTATTCGCTACTCATTTTTGCTTTTATTTACAAATTAATAAAGTCATAAATATATGGTATGAGTGTGACCCTAGTCGAACTATTGGGAAGAAGTAATTTACTTCGGAGCCGGACTTTAAAATGATTCATCTGCTGGTCTCCAATAATTATAATAATTAGCCTGTAAATTAAAAATGTTATATCTATTCTAAAATTCCCTGTTTCTTTTCTTTTTTATTCTTTTCTTTTGTGTAGTTAAAAAAAATATATATATATATTTTATAAAAATAATAAATAATTTTTTTAAATTTAATATAAGGGAAAATTTTTATTATTGATTTTTTAAAAAAAAAAAGAGAAACCATAAAATTTAGTGAAAAATAAAATATATTATATAAAAAATTTTATTTTAGGGAAAAGAAAATAAAAGAAAAAATATTATGTTATAAAGAAAATTTTTTGTAACATAAAATTAAAAATTGTTTTAATAATATAAAAATTTGAACTTTTTTAAACTTCTTTTTTTTTAAAAAAAATTGTACTTAGAGAATTTTAGCAATCTTTTAGATACACTTATAGTAGGTATAGTCTAAAACGAATAGCAAATTATATCAATTCGTTTAAACGAATAGAAAAATTCTGCTATTTGAATTGGTACGAATAATAAAATAAAATATATTTATAGAAATTTTTAATTTTTTTTCATTGCACATCTAATTTTAAATAGAAAAAATAATTATAAATAATCTGATGGACAAGCGATCAAGTTATTAACGAAATTTAAATGCATATTAATTTAGTTTATAATATCAATTCAATTTTTAAAGCAAAGAGTTTTTTTTAAAATTGTTTCTTCTCTAAAAAAACATGTCATTTTTGACAGCAAATTAGTTCCACCTAACCTACAAAAATACGAATCGAATCAAATATTTGCACTTACGAATCGAATAATTTCTTATTTGTATTCGTACGAATAATAAAAACATTATTCGTTTTGATTCGAATATTTGATTCAATTCGAAAATAAAATTCTATAAAAATATTATAAAAAATGAAATTAAATTTCTTTTGAATGAATATTTGAATATATTTTTTTATTAAATTTGTGAT